ATGAGTCCTTGATTACCCTCAAGACAGGAATTATCTTATGAAAATTACTCGAAAACAAATTCTCCTATTAGACGTCGTTCCCAAGTGCGTAGGAGGAAACGTGTTCCATACAAAAACATTTGTGGCAGGTCATGTTCGGATTTGTGGTATCTTTAGATAGGTTCTCTCTTGTTTTATATGAGCACAAAAAACTTGGAGGAAGAAATGATCGCAAAACTTCGCGACTAAGAGAGAGACAGAAATCAACACGACCCACCCGCCACGAAGATCAAACTCTGATATTCATAATTCGCTCGCGGTCCGTTCCGTCCGCCGACCGGTAGTGTCATAAGTAGAGTATAAACATCAATTATCGCGTATGCTTCCGAGATCATCGTTGCAAGGCGGTCATTATCTTGCGGCGCGGACTCGCGCAGCTCGCGCCCGCGAACCATGACAAATTTCGTAACGCCATTTAGATAATTATACGTAATTACTGCTCATACGTGCGTTGATCAACTTTGTTGAAGTGTTCCAACGGCGTACAATCGCCGCATCCGGATCTCCCTTACTTCATTCGTGCAAACACTGATCGCGCGTACCAAATGAAACGCGGCTCATCACCGCGATGTTTCTGCAACCCACGCTTAACACGTTGACTGTCAAATACGAATTATCTCATGACTGTGTGATGTGTGAACTTATCCAACAAAATATAATTTTATCTTTAGCGGAATCTCTCTTATATACGACCTCAAGGCCTTGTATTCTCTCATAGAATCAAAAGGAAAAGCGCAATATTCTTACAGTTGGAGGAATCTCGTCTTTTATCTACACTACGAGTCTTATCTTTAATAGAGATTTCTTCTGGTAAGAGAGCATTTTGTTTTAAATAAATATATTCTTCTTAATTCAAAAGAAAAGAAAAATGTTAGAATGATATCTAGCACAGATTTCCTATTAATAATCTACTTTTCGTTAGAAGAAAAATGCTCTTTCGGTAAAATATTGGTTAGAATATAAGATCATAGAAATGAATTATACAGGAAGGGATTACGGGAAATAGTATTTCGCAACTAAAATTCTCTACTTGGATGTTAGTATATTTTCCTTTTGGTTTTAGGAAAAATCCGCTTAAGATCATATATAAGAGGATTCTAAGGACAAGATTATATATTTCCGGATGAAGTAATTTTCCGCGTTCCATAGAAGTACGAGTTATCTTCATAGATTTTTTTAATAACTTTTTGCTCAATAATATAAATAGAAATTAACTGGCATATTAAAATAAAACGTTTATTATTATTATTATTATTTTGAAATATGGCGTCGAGAATAATCTCGATGTCACCGTGACTGTCAACGTGTTAATCGTGCTACAAGAAGTCGCTCTTCCACCCCTTCCTCCCTTCTAACGACGAGTAACGCGTATTTTCTGTCGTGAAACGAGAAAACGCTCTCGCGAACGCTCAAACGATCGTCATTGAGACGTCTCGCGAAATCGAAGCGATGGGTGTGCATGGTCGCTCGGGGGGTTCTTAACGCTCGATAACCCGCATTACCCTGATCGCAAGACGAAGAGGAGCTCGTGATAACACTTTCGGATAATTTCACGGCGCGTCGAGCGCGATGCATGCTGACACGGCGCGAGTTACATGGAAACGTACTATCGTGGCGCGAGGAGTTTCTCTCTGGATTACTTCACGTCTCAATGAATCAATCGGCCGCACGGTGTTTATGAGGCGAAGGGGTACCGCGCTCATCGCACGCGATTATGCAAATTCTCCGCACGTTGCACCGGCGAGGCCCCGATATTTTTCCCGAGCGAGCGTCGCGCGAGCACCTCTGTCTCTCCTCGTCTCGTCGTGTCCTGCGGAATACTCGGGCCTGTTAAGCCCGTATCAGACGACGTAATGGAGAGACTGAGAATTGCGGATTAGGATTAGAATTCGGTGAGTCAACCGACTTCGGTTCTGACTTGCATTGTTCCGATTGCTCGAGTTTCGATCCTCGATCGATCCGCAATCTTTGATTTTTGACTTGACGTGGACTTTATTTGGCAATGCACGGCGAATAACGCGATTTGCTTCTCTCCCAGTTAGCAACGGATCCTTCGCGGCAGTCGATGCGGGCAGCGGAGACCTACCTACCCGTATTATTGCCATCTAGACTTCGGCGCTGGCTGCACCTGCGCGACCCTCGCGACGTTTACGTAACTATGTGTGTGTGTATGTATGTGTATGCGTGTGTTGTGCGCGCGCCTCTTTTATCGAGCATTATTTATTTCCATCCTCTTCTCGTTTTTCGGCGGACGCGATCGCGAGATGCAACGAGATGGTCGCGCGTAAATCATCCCGTTTACGGTGAACGAAATTGTAACTCATCGCTGGATGTATGCCCCGGAAGTCGCGCGCCTCTCCTCACCGACAAAGTTGCGGTTGATCTTCGCGTGCAATTCTCTCCGCAATTTATAACGCTTCAGTCTCGCCATACGAGGAAGAGAATACCCGCTGAGACCTTACTTTTACGAGTATTTGCTCCCGGAGCAAATACTCGTCTCCGAAGGCAGTTTTGATGCTGTGCACTCCACTTAATCCCGGCCGATCGAATTTCGGGCGAGCTCTCCTCCTCCGGCTCTTGACGCACGCGTAATGTGCTGTCACGCGACTGACGGAAAAATGTTACAAATATCGCGCGGCTGAATATTCACTTTGTGCGCAAGTCGCTGGAATCTTAATTACCTGCTATCTAATTTAACCCGACAAGTGGCATATATCTTCATAATGCTATATCGCCGGGCGTTTTGTTAACGTTAATGTTATCCCGCATATTCAACGACGTATTTTAATATCGCGTCCTCAAGCGTTTGCTACAAACATGGATTTATGCGAGAGTGTTGCGCGATACCTCGCTGTGATATCTCGTCTTGTTGACGTACTTTTTCGTGTAAGTTTTTCCAGCATGCCTTGTTTTTTTGAATAATCTCTAGATAATGGTCGTAGTAAAGCTTGTACAAGAGTCGTCCGGCAAGAATTTTACTTCGTGTGAATATGTATCGCTCACATACATATACACATACACACACACGTGCACGTGTGTATGCACAGGTACACTGTGATCACACGTTCGCCATGGCGAGTGCGCGAGGGTTTATGAATATTGCGCACTTTTCCTACGTCGATAGCGTATTGTGCCGGAAGATACAAGACAACAATGCTGCGTTTATAGATTCAATGTTTTTCCTTGTGACGCACACATTGAAACGCCACTTTTCGCAAGGGATTATGTAGATTCATAATGTAACGCGATAACACGAACGGAATTATTTGGAGCATCGGGAGCAACAATTTCGTTCCCATTCGAGCAGCTTGAGCTTGAAGCACCGCTTATTTTCTATCCCGCAATCGTCACAACCCAGGACAATCATCGTAATTGATTGATTTACATTCTACACATAATCGATAAATTACGGCCGAGCCATCGGAAATGCAAATGCCGCGGAGCTGTTGATCAGCTATGCGCATTAGCACGATCGGAGATCGGTGCTGATCCGACCGACTGTTTCCGTAGCAGCGTTCCACTTGACCTCTAATTATGTTTTTGCGTAACGTGACGCGCCATGACGTGGAATGTTAAAGAAAGCGCGCGCGCGTTAAGTCACGCGTCGATTAAATAGACGCGCGGAATTACGACTATTTAATGGGCTCAAGGAGGAGTTTTCCGACGCGCGCGTCGATTGTTGTCGTGGGAGTAGGTCAAGCGCCACCACGCTCACGCCGCATTGGCTACGTTGAAGGAGATTTTATTTTTACAAAATAAGAACCGAATAATCGATCATTAAAAGATCATTTTCGCACGGACTCTCCACCGCGGCTGTCTCAGACGACCAATTACTTTTCGTGCGAATAACTAAGCAATTTCTGTCCTATATATTCCACAAAACAAGATCTATTTAAATACTACGTTTTCCGGAAATATCACTCACGTAGGATTTCTCGTACTTCACTCTACTTCCCGCACATCGCGCAACCAATCGCCCGAGGAAACGTGACGTCGTTAATTAGCCTATCAATCGTGATTTATTGTTCGCCGCAGGCCGCGCCGAGAGAACTAATCAATTAAGGCACGTCGCGTTGTAGTCCGCGGAGAACTCCAGTCCATATCGTTACTGCGTGCTCAACACTGAACGTGATCGCGCCGTGTTTGAGTGCCGTTTTGATTCTAGTCTCGTAGCGATTCAGCGACGTGTAACACTGTCATAGGTGGATCAAACGCACGGGACAGGATTAGACGAGCGGATTTGGCGCTAAATACCAATTAGTGAGCGCCGGCCCTTCGTCCCGGCGCGTCACGTACTCGAGCGACGGCCGTCGCTGGGCCTCAGGTACGAGCTCGACACTTTGCGCTCTGGCTATTACGAAGGTGGCAGGAGGCAGGCGAGCGGGCAGGTGCGCCTCTAGGCGATCTCGCTTTCTTCGGACGGACTCTCGCGCGAATGTTAATTGTGCGCTATTATTGGCAACGACCAGTCATGGAATTCCGCTTCTTCGAAGCCGCGATCGAGTGTCTTGCTCCGAGAACCCGAGCTAGTATACGAGCGGCATAAACGCGAGCAGATCAGGTGCTTACGTAAAATGCGTTTGCACGCGATTACGCGACCACGCGTTACGTACGGTGCACGAGTCGGAGTATCGAGTCACCGGGTTTACCATCTCAGGAAATCTCGCGGTCACAGACTGACTTCAGAACAAATTCACGGCGGATTTTCTTGGACGTAAAATTGCTTGGACTGTGGAAGCGTTTGGTATCGTTGCGACTGAAATATCCGGAGAAAATGGTATTGGAGCAGAATGTGGACGCAAACTGGTCGTTAGAGAACTATACGAATCGCGATTCCTCCTATCGAAAAAGTTCGAAAAAACTTGGAAGAGTCGAGAAGAATGATAACAAGTGTTTCGTATGGTTACTTGATAAGTATTTATTCGACTGACGCTTATCGCGAGTACTTATTATCGACTTACCTGGGATGCCGACGGATACGAATATCCGAATTGCGCGTACGCTGACATATTTAAAGTCCACGTCCAGTTCTCAATCTTTCTATCTCAGCGAATATCACGCGGAATCAAAGAATCAGGACACAAGCGCACCTAGCACGCACTTCACTCTCTCCCGCTCACTGTGTCTTTACGCGTGGCGACGTCGCGACATACGGACGATGAGAGCGCGACGAACGATCGCCGGCGGTCAACTGCCATCAGGGTGCCTCTTCGGAGTTCTGGTCGGCCGTGGTCGGCCTCATGACGCACGTTCCGGTCCAACCGCGCGCTCATCAACGGGACGTCATCGCGCCATTCCTGGACACGCACTTTAGTCTCGAATTTCTGCCTGGTTCGTGTGGAGATGCACGTTGCGATCAGCGACGACGCGCGATAGCGAGGTCGGCGCTTCTCCTCGCTGCGGCACGGAGCGGTTCGCTGCTCGCGACGCGGCGCGTCATGAAAGCAGATGGCACGGGACGTAGTGGCACCGGGACGCAGCAGCAACACCAGAACGACGACGACGATGACATCGAAGCGGGACGGACATTCGGACAAACAGACAAACAGACAGGCGGGTAGACAGGCGGGCAGGCAGGCGGGCAGACAGACGGACAGACAGACGGCGTGCGAGGCGTCACGAGCGGTTAGGTATAGAGTCAGTTCGTTCGTTCGTTCGGTCCGTCCCCTGCTCTCACAGGGCACTCCAGTCTGCGACTGACTCGGCACCACTCACACCACCTCAGCGAACTTCTCCGCTCCGCTCCGTCACGGCTCCCCCTCTGGCGACGAAATCCGAAAGCATAGCGGGCCCCCACCCATGAACCGTGGGCGGTGTCTCGCACGGGACCAGCCAATCGTCCAGCAGCGGGTGGAGTTGAGGGGTTACTTGGCCCGCCGCGACTGGTCGCGGACGCCTGACGCGCGGGCGGCGGTGTTTTTCGAACGTGCCCATTGACGTCGCGACGCCTTTTGATTCCCCCACCTGAGCGGCGGAACCACCGGCGAACGATCCGACGAGTCGTGGCGCGGCACCCCGCTTCGCCACGGGACGCGCACGGCCGCGGCTGAACAAGGAGAAACGAGTATGTTTACGCGACTCCACTCTTGTCAACCTGACGGCGAGGGACTTAAATAAATCCGCGAACCCTCCACGGCCCTCCTCCCGCTCGCGCGCCGCCCTAAGGAGGAGTGACTTCTTTCAGCCGATGCATCGCGCCCATTGTCCGGTTCCGCGAGATAGCGGAACCCTTTGCGCGAAACGTCAGCGTGACCGCCGAGGTCCTCAGCAACACGTAGAACATGTCAGGTAGAACGAAAATTTCCTCCTAGTCGCGTTTCAGGAGGTTCCGCAGACTATAGAGCCGACGCGGTGAAGGAAACGCTATCGGTAGGGTACACTCTGTACGGTAGAGTGAGTCCCTGATGGTAACCAAAGTGCGTAAGCCAATCATTTGTTCTGGCCTATTGTTCTTCCATTGAAAATTTAACGAGCGATGGACGCCGGGAAGATTAGCCGCGGGATTTATCTGGGTACCGTGCCATTTGGAATAATTTCACGGGTTATTAAGCCGCAGCAATGGGCCAAGACCATTAACCGTGCACGAAATATTTGTCCGTTGGATATTAGCGTAAGGGATCATTGTTCACTCATACGCAAGAGTTTTCACCGCGGAGCTACAACATCCAATTATCATCCTCATTTCGTTCAACCACAGCTGACCCTAAAACGTACTCAACCGTCCGATAGCGCCGTGGGGCGTGCTCGTTTTCGGATGTATCGACGATACCTAATCGATAATGGTTAAATTAGTTTCTCACTTTTTTCCAACGACGCCGAAACTATTTGATCGCATACGTTCAGCATGCAGCATTCCTCAGTGAGAAAGGGAGAAAATTTCAGATGTCGAGTAGCTACTTTGATTACTCGAGAGACAAAACACGTGCTTGTTTATGACGATTGAAATGGAATTAACGATCTTTTTCTTGAGAAATTCCGGGCAAAGGATAAGCACAGTCGGTAAATCGGAAAGAAAATAGCAGTCTTTGTCGCAACAGAAATCCACTGCCTAGTAGGATTAACACGTCGACGAGGTCCTTGGGAGATAAACATCCGAGGTCCTTTTACCTGTGCTCCAAAACTTTCCATGAAGGCGTCAAAGTAGATCCTTTCTGGTGATTTATTGTTGCATATAAACTAGTGATTTGCTCATCACGCTCTATGGCGAATAGTTACGGACATAATACCGACATTTGAAGAAAAATTCTATCCTCCAAATTTGTCTTTGTCCCGACAAACCAGTTTAGAGTTAGGACTCCTTCCGAAGAATCGGGAACTTTTTCTGTCAGCATTGGAAACACAATGCCGTAGCCTTGAACGATTATCGTTCATATATTTTACAACAGAAGAAACAGGCTTTTTTGTTGTTCTCATCACATGTCAACGCCCAAGATGTGACCATTGGATTACTGTCCTATGTGCTCCCTTGTGATGATGGTGCGATGACTTCGCTATGTCTGTGATGAACCTGAATGGGACAACACACAACCACCGCAAATTTGTAGTGTACGTGTCAGGGTTTAATCGCCAGGAAGCTGGAGTCGAAAAGACAAGAAATCCTTATTCTAGCCTAATATTGTTGAGATGCATTTCTGCACCAAATTCAATAGGTGACCGTTGCTCTCTCGGGGATTCGACTGCTCCGAGCGAATATTGAACAACTAAACAAGGAGAACTACGCAAAAGAAGAAGTGTGTTCTCCATTCGGCATGACGGAGTACCCTTATCCTATCTCGCTGTCCGACTATTTCTACACCCAGCCCAATAAGCGGCCGGTACCCCGCTCGCGAATTGTACTGTGTACCGTGTGAATGTTGAATAATTAAACGAGAAGAATTACGCATCGGACGTGGAGCTGACAAAATGAAATGTGGCGGCAGCTGGCGCGCGATGTGAAAATATCACTCGGATGTTGAATGCCCATTTATTTCGTCGTTGGACGTAACATTTATGATTACGGGAATGAAACAGTACTCGCGGTTCGTCACTTTTTATTGTTACACTCGCCCTGTGTTACGCCGTCACATATGACTCTGCGGACAGAAGTAGCGATATTGCGGGGCTAACGAACGGATGCACACGGCTGCCATCCGTAAAATTTTACAATGTGTAATCTCTCTCGTAGCGAACTGTTCGGCATCGGTTTGCGGTCTCGTGCGTGCGTGCGTGCGTCGTAACACAATTTCCGCAAACTTTAGGTCGCCTGATCTCGGAAGGATAAACGAAAAAAAGGTGTCAATGCGCCCAATGTCGTTACGAGAGCACGAGGAAGTATCAGGTATTCATCTGTCCTACAAACTGGATAACGTGGTTGTAAATCCCGTTCACAATATCTACAGTCACGGTCCAGGTTCGTCCGGTGTTTACAGCCGTCGGGCTGTTTTTCGAGTCTGATAAGGCGGGACGTTTTTAAGAGAAGAAGAAACTGTCCGGTCCTATCTCTCGGGCTAGTGTGTTCGCCACTTGTTCGCAGCTCGAGTAAAATTTAAACGGCCGTGTCGACTCGGCCCGACTCCAAGCGATAAGAATGCTTAATAAGGCACACAAACCATCTACTATTCTTTCCTTCCTTTCTTCCCATTTCCTCGTCGTTGTTTCCGAACCGCCTACACATTCCCTCCTCTACTTCGCCGTCGACCTAGTTAAGACTGCAAGGGTTCTCACTGTCTCTACTCTAAATCTTTCCACCGACCTCTTCGACTGTCTCTTTCTCTCTCTCTCTCTCTCTCTGGCAATGAGTTATGAAATAAAGCTTCCGTGAATCTGTTGTTACCGGAGAAAGGAATCGGCCAGCTCCTGACGTTCCCCTTATTATTCTTTCCTCGAGAATCCGCGGCCTTCTCTCCGAATTCACATTCACATCGAGCTTATTACATTATACCGCCGTAACACCTTTCGGTTAGCTTTTACGACAGCTCTATGAGATCTTCCCGGCCGACGTACCGTCGCCGCGCTCTCTCTTCCTCTCTCTTTCTTTCTCTCTGTTAGGCTGCTCTATGCCGCGGCGGAATCATAAAAGTGGGTCTAATTCGAATGCCGTGGCGAATGGCGCGATATTCACACCGCGGAATAAAACAAAAGGTTGTTACGCGGCTCCGAGGAGCGGATGGACACGCTGAGGTAGGAAGAAAGAAGCTAATAAGGGGAGGTCCAGACTGCCCTGGCGCCTTCGGGGTACTTTCGAAGGGCACTGCAGTTTTATTGGTCGGAACGTCCTTGTTCCTCGTCGTCTTCCTCCACTACACCACCACTTCTGCGCCGACTTCGTCTTCCTCCTCGGCACACGGTATGGCCGACCAGTATGTTGCCGTAAAAAAGCCGGTCCCCCCTGTACCTCCTCCTTCGACTTCTCTCCTCCTCGGCCCCTCCGCGTCGTAGTCGCCGTGTCTGTCCTCCTCCTCACCTTCTCCGTCCGCGTTCTCCCCCGTAGAACGACGAACGAACGAACGAACGAACGAACGAACGAACGAACGAACGAACGAACGAACGAACGAACGAACGAACGAACGACCAACGAAATGTCAACCGTAAACCTCGCGAGGCAACACTAATTAACCCGACCGAAATAAACTGCAGCGCTCAGCGGCGCTCCTCTCGCCCTCTCGCTCCCTCGCCGAACCCTTTTCTTTTCTCATTCACGCGGACGGATTCTATAGCCCTCGGTCACAGTCACGAGAAAAATCTCGGGGCGGTCTTAAAATTCCTGATCGCCGCGTTACGAAGGAGCCCGCGAGAGACCGAACGGGACGAAAAGCTCCTTCGTCCTCTGAAGCTCCACTTTGGAATGTCAACGAGTACGTTCGTTAGACCCTAATACCGCTACATCTACAAGTATATTTATTCGCGGACGAGTCTCTTGCCTTTAGCCGACGTATAATTATTTTGGCTATTAGCGATAATTGATGAATCCTCATCGCATCGTGAGTGCTTGTGTTCACCGACGGATACGTGATGCAGCTCGAGGGAGAGAAGTCATCTTGAGACACTTTATCGACGCCGTTGTGTCGTTTCGTTATGTGACCACCCGGGGAAATAAATCGAGGCTTTTTTTGGCGTAAGTGTATAGGAAGCGTCGCTTTCAGTGCGAACTGTGGTACGCGAAGGGACGGATGACTCTCTTGTTCGCTTCGCGTTCTCCCGCGCTCCCGCCACGAAACAGTCGAATCCGCGGGGTTTCCCCTGTACCGCCTGTTGTCAGGCATTTCCATTTTACCTCGTGGATTTTACACGGAGAACGTTACGGTCCACCCTTGTACGTTTACGCGGCGACATCTACGAGAATGCCTCCGTCGGCTACCGTTTTTGTGTTTCTGACTGAAGTCTATCGATAGAATATCGGTGCGGATCTTTGGGATAGAATACAGCAACTTGTACGACTAGCGATCTTCAATAAGAATGAAAGTGTGAAAGCAGCCCTGTTACAGATTTTACGTGAGAAGTCAAAGGGCCGCTTCACTGTAGTTCTGGTGTCAATCGATTCAAGTGTAAGATTGTCAATTTGTCAAAGATTGCGTGTGGTTGCAATTAATATACATTTGCTTGTAAATCCTCATTGGATTATTTAATATTAGCCTATCGCGATATTCTATTTGCGGATGAAGATAGATACGCGGAAAGAAAGAAAAGAATGTCAATCAAATGTCTGATGAAATATGAACGAACC